AAATGCTAAAACTTTAAAAAATACTAAATGACAAAACAGATTGTAAAAATTCAACCTTAGTAATGAAAGTTGCATTTAAACTTCAGTGAAACACTATTTCTCTTTAGTTTGACAAGGGTCAAAGGCTACACTGCTGCCATGTTGTTAGGTGCCCTCACAGGTGTAAGCATACAGCCTCAGACATTCTGGGGCGGGAGTGTTCTCAGTAAACCTGGTAATGTCACTATGCTCATTGTTTTGATTCCATTTCTAAGAATTTCTCTTCTAAATATCTCACCAATATCCCAAAATAGGGCTATTTGTTACAGATTTTGGGGGCGAGCTCATTGCAAAAGATTAGAAACCACCCTTCCCATTGGGGAATGCACCTGCACATCAAATACCGACTATCTCAGTATCAAACTGCCACATTTACACTAGAAAATGAACATTTAGTAATAATGGAGTCCTGCATTTTTCCCTAGCACTGATTTTCACAATGAAGACCTGGTCTTTGGTACCTAACCATGATAATGAGAAGTAAATATATTTCAATATATTACTTAGCTATAGACTAGAATATTACATGAGGTTTTTGTTAAATGTCTTCGAGTTGGTTGTGACTCATAGCTACCCTGTACAAGGGTTTCCAAGGAGCGGTTGCTGGGTTTGAGCCACTGAACTTGTGTTGGCAGCCCAACTCTCAGAAACAATGAAAGAATGTAGACTGTAAGATACAGAGCTGTCATTCAGTCTTCTAGTTGTGTGCCGTCAACGTGGTCCCGACGCAGAGCCAGCCTGTAGGCGGTTTCTAAGGAGTGGCTGGTGGGTTTGAACTGCTGGCCTTCTGCTGAGAACACAGACTGTCAGAGACATAGCATTCCATCTCAAATTCTACTCATTTGTTTAAATATAAAGGGGCTTCAAACATTTTATGGAAAAAATCTCATAATCTTTTAATCCCATTTTTCTAAGAAAATTTTAAAGCCCTTTCATATATGAGGTGACATACTTATGCGTTAAAATATACACATGGTATTTTGGAAGAATTACAAAACAAACTGGTAACTGGTTGATTTGGGGAAGGAGATAGGTTGGGAATTCAGGAAATACAGGAAGAAAAAAATATTTAACTTATTTTCTTAATTTACATAATTCAACAGCAAAACTACTTTTGAGCCAATGCTCACTTAAATGTTTGAATAGTCTAAAATACCCTTCCTTTGCTTGAATGACTAAATGTTTTGAAAACCAACTAGTCAAATGCCACTAATTCAAAACCAAGTCTGAGATTTCTGACAGTGAAAATTAAGAGTATATAAATTTTAAAATGGTTTTATCATAGAGTCATTTTAATGAATACTAGGCATGGCATTTATACACATTTTACAAAGATTAACTTTAGCATATTTTGTATGTATATGTAAATATGTGAATCTAAACAGAATTTGTGCTAAATGACCCAATACCAGGACCTGTTTAAAAGGACATTTGGTTACAACAGTGAAATGGCTTAAGCTTAAAATAAGTAATAGATCCATTTGTTCAGTTTCACAGGTAGCTTTATTTGGGTTTTAGAAAAATATATACAATAATTTCAAACTCAGTTCTCTTAAATAGTTTTAAATTAAAAGTACGCCAAGTGAAAGGAAGAATGTTATCTGTACAGTCAGAGCACAGAATACTGCTTAAGAAAGTAGCAGATACCAATTTCTGCATCAAGTCAAAACCATTTACAGGAATGACAGGAACTTAACCAGAGTAGCTTGTGGCTGGCAGGTGAGCCAGCTCTTAACAGTGTAAGGTAGCTAAAGTAGCAGTCTGATTTGTTCTCTTTAAATCTGAAAAAGGAATTAAAGATTTACATACTCACCGGTCCTAAGTGCCAGATAAAGATATTAAGGAAATGCTTTGAGCGAAAATATTTGAATTTGGGGTAGAGGCCCTCGAGGGTCTATGTTAACAGGCTAACTTAGATTACACCAAAGCTTGCTCTTTCAGTTTGGTGTTGAGTTCAATTTAGATACACTACGGATTACCAGTCAGTCAGTTCAACTGGTAGCTGGTGTAACAAAACCCAAGAGCTTGGGGTATTTGTTAAAGACATTTATTTTGGACTAGAACCCTGCTTTCTCCTAAACATTCTTTTTGATGAATTCACAGTATCTAACAGTGTCTGTAAGATATATCAGTCTGGCAGCCGCCTCCCGACTTCTACGTACACTTAAAAAGTCAAGCCAAAAGGCGGCAGAAGTTGCTTCAACTTCTGTCCTTTTCACCGTGCTCTGGTTATGACAAGGAGTCCTGGGGACACCGTGCATTATGCTGCTAACCCAAAGGTCAGCAGTTTGAACCCACCAATGGTTCCACGGGAGAAAAGACCTGGTGATCCGTTCCCGCAAAGATTTCCTCCTTGGAAACCCTATGGGGCCAGTTCTGCTCTGTCCTATAGGGTCTCAGTGTTAGAATCAACAGCATACAACAACACAGTGACTACAAACTTGCTTTTCCAGTAACACACAACTTCCCTCCACTGGTTTTGGGGCTTTTCCAGGAGCTGAAACCTAATCAGTGTACCAGCCAGAGGCCAGTTTGTCATGGGATTTCCTAGACAGCTTACAGGGCACTCACTGGACTGCAGAACCGGCTCCACCTCCTTTCCACACTGTACACATTGCCTAAATCCGCAAAATAAGGAGGCAACTGTCATAAGCAACATCTGCTTGTGATTCAACAAACCCTTCTGGGGGAGAGAGGCGATAACAAATAGGTGAATTGTAGACAAGCTATTGGGTCAGTTAGGAATGCAGGGAGAGAGACTGGCATTTTGTTCTCTGTTCATCTATTTCCTGCTTGGTTTTTCGGATGCAACTAAAGATCTCCTTAAAAAGCGCTTTGTATTCTGGGGGCGTCGAAGCAGTCGGGGAAGCCACAGGCTCTGGGCTCATAGAGGTCAGCTCCCAGCTGGCCGGGCCAGGTTCAGGCTGGGCCTTCACTGCACTCAGGTCCTTGGCTGGAGCCCTGGAGGTCTGCACAGCTTTGTGGGACAAGTCCTGTTCCTGTTGGCACTTCTTCACCAGCTCTTCATACTTGCCCTTCAGGGCAACGTACTGTGTGTCCACCTCGTGCAGGAGAGAGATGCCCCTCTGCTTCACTGCCTTGGCCCTCCGGATGCAAGTCTCCTCATGGCCCTTCACCAGGTCTCCGCCTGCCAAGCTGCTCAGGACTGTCTCACTGCTGCTGCGCTTGAGGGGCTTTCTCGGGGCTTCTGTGGGGAACAGCTCCTCCAGCAGGCTCTGGCCGGGCTCTCTGAATGGGACAAACAGGGAGTCTGGCACCAGCTTCTCAACCCGGCTCATAAAAGGTTGCTCTGACTGCAGCATCTGCCGCAACTCGGCCACCTCTGCCTCCAGCTCCAGCGCGCGGGCTCGGTAGGCGCCCAGAGCCCCGAGCTGCTGCTCTAGCTCACTGTTCTCTCTTAGCACAAGCCCGTATTCCTCATCCATAGTCACCCGCTTCTGCCGTTCCAGGCTCAGCTGGGCCTGCAGCATCGCCACTGTCTTTTTCAAGTGCTCGTTTTCCTCTTCATCGGGGCTTTGCTGACTTTGCAAGGAAGTTATCTTCTCAGCAAACACGTGGTCATACACAAAGTGCCTAGGAGGGAGGTGAAGAGAATAAATTTCACAGGTCACATGAGAATGAAAGGACAGTTCATGTTTCAACAATGTGTTTGAGTCACGGTGACTGTTTTTTAGCTCATTCCCACATTAGGACTGTGGCTAAAATTAAACAGCCCAAGACTGCTGAGAAAAGAACTGCCGTGAGTAATTTAAATACGTACATACATACATTACCAACAGGACCAGCACCCTCAGTCCCAAAGACTAATAGTAAGAGGGTTATCTTACTGGAATTGAGAAGAGTCCAATGATTCTCAACCTTGACGGTAATAGAATCAGCAGAGTGGCCTTCAATACACTGAGGCCTGGGTTCCACCCCTGAGCATTCTGACGAAGTTGAGTTGTGGTCTGGACATCAGGTTGTTAATGACACTTCTCAGGAATGTGCAGCCAAGATTGAGAACCATTACTGCAGTGTTTTTAACCAGAATCTTCTGGGAAGCTTTTTCACCTAGACCTGAGATTCTGATTTAGACCAAGGGGGGTCCTTGGTCTTTACAGTCTGAGAAACCCCACAGGTGATTTGATATAGCCAAGGTTGAGAACCACCAAACAAATGAGGTAGCCTCTCTCCTGCAACACCTATAAGCAGCTTGTAACTAGTTCACTGCGTGATCATCTGCTTATCTAACGCCCCATGCGTGATCATCTGCTTATCTAACGCCACACTGGACTGAAAGCTCCAAGAACAACAGGTGCTCAATAAACAGTGGTGTGGCGCTGTGGGAGAATGCAGTGGACCGCAAGGTCAGCGGTTCAAACCCACTGGCCGCTCCTCAGAAATCCAGTACAGGGTTCTATGAGTCAGAACCGATTCCACGGCACTTATTTAACAACAACAAATAATAATTATCAGTCTCAGCACTCTATAAATTATAAAGGCACTTTTGTTCACTGAGATTCTTGTTTTATTTAAATTTTTCCTTCGCTCTAGTAAGATATCACATCCCCCCAAATCTCTAAAATGTTTAAGTACTTCACCTTATTTTAAACTATAATTTAATTCATTAAAAATACTGAAACAAATGCTCTCAAGTTTCTATTTAAAAAATAAGTTCTCACAGAATTACTAATATCAAAGAATTCTAGCATTTGTATGTTTAAGTTTAATGGTTTCGTTCAAACCAGTGTCAGTTTAAGCTTTTCTTAAAAGGGGTACTTTTAACTCCACTGAAACCCAGAATGATATGAGAGGTCCCATTTGTAACCATCACAAAGACAGGCTCTTACTGGCGGAGGTCATATAGCTCTTTCAGGCACGAGAAAGTGGGTGGTGATTTCTGCTGGTCACACTTGCCCTGGCTCCTTCTCCCTTGGCCAGATGACTTCAGCTCCTCCACTTGGGTCTGAAGATGATCAATGTTGCCTTGCAGGCATTCGATTGTTCCAGTCAGACTGTGAGAAACAGACCAAAGCTATCAGTCGTTTTAGATGAATGGAATAAGCAGTGAATAAGTCTTCCTTAATTGGAAAGACTTTCTATTTAATCTCCACAAGTAATTAAATTAAACCTTACTCCATGTTGACCCAAACCCACTACAGCATGTTATCTTCTAATTCTAGTACACACACTAAAGAGCTCCCCCAACTCATATAGGGTCGCTATGAATCAGAACCCACTCAAGGGCACTTAACAGGGTTTTCCTTCATGGATTCTAGAAAATATACCTCAGAATCTTTTGCTGTGAGGCCTTACTGTCAGCAACTAGTTTTTGATTCGTTTCTTCCAGTTCCCTTGCTGTCACATCTAACTGCTCATAGACCTTGGCGTGTTGCTCATTCATCTGCCGTAAAAGCTCCACCTGTTTGGTAAGATACTGGAAGAGAAGATCATCATGACCAAGTTACACAGTCAACAGAAAATACCACAGGCTTATTTTATGAAAAGAAGAATTGTAAATCCCAATTACACTACCTATCTTAGCATCTTTTATTTTCTTAATTCCCAAAATTCTTTTAGTAAAGATCCCAATGTATAATGAGCACATGTTATATAAAATAGATACTAAATAGGAAACTCTAAAGTGAGACATGAAAACTGGGAAGAGCTGCCTCCTCAAAGCAGAGCTGACCATGAAGACACAAATGGAATAAAGCTTTCGTACACTCATTGGCTGGTGGGGCACAACACAAAATGAGAAGAAAACAGCTGCACACATCCATTAATAATTGGAGCATGGAATGTACCAAGCATGAATCTAAGAGAATTGGTAGTTGTCAAAAATGAAATGGAACGCATAGAGATCGGGATCCCAGGCCTTAGTGAGTGAGCTAAAAGTAGATGGGTACTGGCCATTTTGAGTCCGAGAATGATGAACTGAAGAGGAATGGTATCATGGTCATCGTCAAAACATGTCAAGATCTATGGTGAAGTACAGTGCTGTATCTGTATCTGAGAGGATGATAACATCCATGCACCAACAAGGAAGCCCAGTTAACACCACCATTTTCCAAACTTACACATCAACCACTAAAGCCAGTGTGGATCAAACTGAAGAATTCTATCAACTTCTTCAGTCTGAAATAGATCAACTATGCAATCAAGATATATAAAAAATTGGTGATAAGAATTCTCAAGTTTTTTCTGTGTCCTTGCTTTTCTCTCTCTCTCTTTCTATCAATTCATGGAAGGTACCAAAATACCATTATTTTGAATTCTCTTTCATTACTTTTTCTTTTTTCCTCAGAAATGTTTTCTGTCTCTGCAGCTTTGTCATTTGTTTAAGACATTCTCTATTGTTTCTTCGTGTGAGCTGAAATTGTCTGTTGTCTCTGGAGCATTGTGGGGAAAAATTTCTGAGGTGCTCCTGCAATTCAAGGAACTCACGAGGTGATTCGTGGAATAGATGTGACAGCCGACTTCCTGGCCCTAGGATGGAGTTCCTATTGGCTTAGGTGTTATCTATGTTCAGAGCACTCAGTCCGGAAGTAGTTCAGAGGGGCCCTTGATGGAGCTGGTTTCAGTGTCTGTTAGGACCAAGGAGAAGCTGGGGGCAGGGTGACCAGTTAAATGACGGTGTGGTGGCTCTGCTGGATTTGTAGGTCTGGAGCAGAGCCCACCTGAATCCAGGTACCAAAGGGGCACATCAAAATGGTGCAGCTGGTCCCACCTCACACTAACGTGGTTCCCAACCACACAGCTCCAAACTCCCGGAGAACAGGGTGGATGAGGGTGGGAGCTGGTCACCTCTCTGGTCACTAGGGAGCCTGGGGGAAAGAAGACGTTGCACAGACCGTCAAGTGCTCATATTCAACTTCAAGCAGCAGTTGAAGATAATTAAAATTTCAAAGGGCATCGGGAGGAGACAAAGTCAAATATTAGAAAGAAATGTACAAAGATCTAGAGTTAGAAAACCAAAAGGGAAAAACACACTCAGTCATTCTTCAAGCTGAAGAATTGAGGTAAAAATTCATGCAATCGAGGTTCAACCATTTCAAGAGGTAGCATATGATCAAGAGCCAATGATACTGGAAGAAGAAGTCCAAGGTGCACTGAAGGCACTGGGAAAAGAACAAGGCTCTAGGAATTTATGGAAAATAAACTGAAATTTCTCAACAGACTGAGGCAGCACTGGAAGCACTCACTCATCTAACCAAGCAATTTGGGAGACTGCCAACTGATTGGAAGAGATCCATATCTGTGACCATTCCCAAGAGAGGTGACCCAATGGAAAGCTAAAATCATCGGCCGGTATCATTAATATCACATGCATGCAAAATTTTGTCTATTCTTTATCATTGGTTACTGTTTGCTCCTTCAATTTTCAATTTGACCTTTCAGCAATACTTCAGTCAGTATATTCATCACCTTATCCTCAAAACTCTTTTTTTGGAACTTTTTATTGTGACTTGAGTGGAGATTTACAGACAAGATCATCAGTTTTGCATTCAACAAATCATCCACTTTGTTTCATCTCAATGATTGTAATCCCCTCCCTGCAACAACAGTCATCCCGCTTCCTCCGTGTGCTTCCTGTCTCCATTCCAGCCGCCTTCCCAGCCCTTCTCAGCTCTGTCCTTAGGAACAAGCTGCTGCTTTCATTCGGAATGACTGACTGTTCCATCATTCATAGTGACCCTGGTGTCCCCTGAGACTGTGGTCCGGAGGCCCAGGTCCAGCTCCTCATTGTCTTAAGTTGTTTGGTCATATCTAAGATGTTGTCAGCATTTTGCTCCCTGTATGCTCCACCACATTTATAGCTGTGCGTGAAGGAAGGGGAAATGCTTCATATGCCAGTGAAATTTCCCTAAAGACTATTTTAAAAGGGCTGTACCAGTAGTACATTGACAGGGAACTGCCAGGGGTTCAAGTCCGATTCAGACGAGGATGTGGTCTGAGTGACATCACTGCTGCATCAGATGGATCTTGACTGAAAGCAGAGAATACCAGAAACATGTTTACCTGTGCTTTATTGACTAGGCTTTTGACTGTGTGGATCATGACAAGCTATGGACATCGCAGTGAATGAGTATTCCGAAACACTTAATTGTGGTCATGAGGAACGTGTACAAAGAGGCAACTGTTTGAAAAGAACAAGGGAATACTGAATGGTTTAAAAACAGGAAAGGTGTGGATAAAGGTTGTATTTTTTCCCGGTATTTAACTCAGTCTGTATGCTAAGCAAATAATCTTAGAAGCTGGATTATATGAAGAAGAATGTGACATCAGGACTGGCGGAAGATGCAACAGCCTGTTACGTGCAGATAATACAAACATGCTTGCTAAAAGTAAAGAAGACTTAAATACTCACTAACAAAGACCACAATCTTCAGTATGGGTTGCACCTCAGTGTAAAGAAAGTAAATATCCTCTCCACTGGACCAACAAATAAAATCATGATAAACGGAGAAAAGACTCAAGCTTTCAAAGACTTCATTTTGCTTGGATCCACTTTCAACACTCATGGAAGCAGCAGTCAAGAAATTAAATGACGTGTAGTATTAGGCAAATGTGTTGCAAAAGACCTCTTTAAAGTGCTAAGAGCAAAGATACCAGTTTGAAGACTAAAGTACACCTGACCCAAGCCATGTGCATGTGAAAGTTGGACAATGAATAAGGAGGACAGTAGAAGAACTGATGCATTTTAGTTATGGTGTTGGATAAGATTAATAAAGGTACCAAGAACTGCCAGAAAAACAAATCCGTGTTCAAAGTACAGCCAGAATACTTCTTAGAGGCTGAAATGACTAGACTTTAATGTCTGTCATACTCGGCTATAGCATCAGGAGGGACCAGTCCCTGGAGAAGGGCATCATGCTTGGTAAAGTGGACGGTCAGCACAAAAGATGGAGCTTCCTAATGAGATGGACGGACACAGTGGCCGCAGCAATGGCCTCAAGGGTAGCCGCAACTGTGAGGATGGCACAGGCCCTGTAGTAGTTCATTCGGTTGTACAGAGGGTCACTATAGGTCAGAACCAACTCAATAGCATCTCACAACAACAACAAATGGTGGGCTCTGTGAGATAAGCACTGGACGGATAATCAAAAGGTCAGCAGTTTAAGTTCACCAACCACTCTGAGGGAAAAGGATGAAGCTCTCTGCTCTTCTAAGAGATTTACAGCCTTGACAGGTTGCGCTATGAGTTGGAAGTGACTCTCTGGCACTTAGCACACACTCACACACACATGTAAACATACAAAATGTTGTTAGGTTCTGCTGAGTGAGTTCTGACTCATAGTGACCCAATGTACAAAAACAACAGAAAACCTGCTGAGTCCTGCCCCACCTCACTACTGCTGTTACGTCTGAGCCCGTGACAGTCATGATGTCAATTATGGTCATCATATTCTGACTGATGTCCTACAATGTAGGAAAGACGGAATATGAATAAACACAGCAACAGACCCCTCAAGGTTGCAACGGAAAATGGGGGGGGGGGGACAGAAGGGAGCAAAACAAGAAATCAGTATAATATACAGAAGACTATGGCTATAGTAAAGAAAGCAGAAAAGGCTTTCAAATGACCACAGATGGCATGCCTTCATAAAGAAGGGACACCTGGGAAGTAAGAGCACTTTGCGTGGTGGGCCTAACTCCAATGGGAGATGACGCAGGTTTCCAAGCAGAAGAGTAAAAAAACCATAGCGGGAGGATGCTCCCAAGACCTGTAGGAAAGTCTAAATGAATCTGATTGTGTCCAACGGTGTCAGAGCTCTGGGGTTAGATCTCATTACTCTCTATAAAGTATCCTCTTGGCTCCTTCCCCTCATCCCAGACAGACAGGGTTGCTTGGAAATCTTGGAAAATAAGATGTTCACAGAATACTCAATACATAGAGGTTATGGATGTCTCGGAAGCTAGTGGAACTAGTATTGTATTTTTGTGTGTGACAGCATAGACAGCAAGCAGACATCAACTGAATGATTTCTCCTTGCACAGTTCCGGGGCACTGATGCTATTCTTCAAGTTGTGTAACCATCCTCACTAGACTCGTTCACATTCATCCAGCACCACTTACATTAGCACACTGCCCACTACCCCGTAAGCTCCTTAGTCCACCTTGTGAGCTGCTGTTGGAATGTGACCACATACAGAGCCCAAGAAGCAGGACACACTTTGTTTATTGAGCACAATGACGTCAGGGGATAGTTTCAGTTTCAGGTTTAAAGATTACCTAACGGGGCAACTTAGACACTGGCTGCCTAAAATGAGGGAGAGATAAAGGTACAAAGTGACTGGCTTACAAGGTTACAAGAGGGACTTTAGTTTAAGAGTGTGTGGGGGAAGACAGAGTCCCCACTGAATAGTTTTCATCTTGTCTAGATGAGTCTGGTAAAAAAGATGGAGAAAGATTCTTATGATTCAGTTGTGAATGATTGTTATCATGACTAATTGCGACTGTCACAATTGTAAAGGTAGAAGTTTTGTAAAAAAAATGGGGGAGTGGTTAATCTTACAGTCCAGAAACAAAGAACTACAGGACCATCAAGGGAGACGAGCACAAGCAGAATGCATGACCTTATCCAGAGAAGGAGGCACAGATGGGGACATGGCGAGAGGGAGCAGCTGAGGACTCTAAATTCATGGAAAGGGAGGGACAGAGAGCTGCGGCCAGGAGGTAGGCTTGCAAAATGTGCCCTTTAATGGTGTTAATTATTATATATGCCTGAGTGTTTAAAAAAAAAAAAAGAGCTAAAATGAATAGAGAGAAAGAGAAATACTGTTAACTTATAGTACACGGAGGGGATTATAATCATTGTAATGAAGCAAAGTATATGATTTGTTGAATATAAAACTGCCGATCTGCCCTGTAAACCTTCACTCAATTTTGGTGGGCGAGGAAGGGGGTCAAACAGCCTTAGTGGCTGCAGTCTGGAATTCAGTATAACTGAACTTCTCCCCCATACTTTTTGTCTTTTGATCAGCAGTCTTGCACAGAATCTTTGATTGGTATGGGACCGCTACTTTCAATAGCCTAATCTTTTCTTTTTGCGTTAGAAATGATGCCTAACAAAATACTGATCCAATTTGTTTCAAATTTGTTTAGACAGTTTCCTAGTTGTCTATTGAGTTGATTTTTTGGTTACTACTATGTATTTTTCTAAAATTTCTAAATTAAAAAATGATCATGTAAACGTGACCTATACTCAGAGCAGTAGTTACTCTAAATACCAACAAAGAGGGAAAGAGTCTTCAAATCAAGTATCAATGCTATCTGCTCTGTACACAGGGTAGATAGGGACGGGCAACTTAGACACTGGCTACCTAAAGTATGGAGGCAATAAGGGCACGAAGTGACTGGTTTCAAGAGGGAGTTTAGTTTAAGAGTATCGGGGAAAAGAAACAGTCCCCACTGAATAGCTGTCATCTTGTCTAGATGGGTCTGGTGAAAAGAGATGGGGATAAGATTTGTAAGATTCAATAGTGAATAACTGTTATCATGACTAATCGCAACTGTCACAATTGTAAAGATAAGTTTTGTAACAAAAAAAAGGGGAGTGATTAATCTTACAGTCCAGAAACAGAGGACTCTAGGACCATCAAGAGAGGAACACACAAATAGAATGTGGGACCTTATCCAGAGAAGCAGCAGGGCCAGAGATGGAGGCAGAGATGGGGGCATGGAGACGGGGAACGGCTGAGGACTCTAGATTCATGGACTAAGGAGAGAAGTACTAAGACCTGGTGGTCGGGAGCAGACTTGCAGAATGTGCCCTTTGGAAATGTAAATTATTATATATGCCTGAGTGGGTTTTTTTGTTTGTGTGTTTTTTAAAAAGCTCAAATGGCTAGAGAGAAATACTGTTAACTGATGGTACATGGAGGGGATTATAATCAATGTAATGAAACAAGGTATGTGATTTGTTGAATGTAGAACTGATGAAGAACTGATGATCTGCCCTGTAAACTTTCACTCAATCCACAATAAAACCTTAAATTAAAAAAAAAAAAAAAATGTTTAATGAAAATAAAAACTGAGCAAAAAGCAAATGGGAAAAAAAAAAGATCATGTATCACTTTTTGAATCAGGAAAATCCCTAGTAAACATTTTAAAGTTAGTTTAAAAACCTTTTTAAAAAACGGTTCACAGAGCAACTTAGGTTCTGAATCAGCAATCTGTACAAACTGTTCAGTGGCACTGGTTACCTTCTAATGTGCGAACAGTCTCATTATTTCCTTTCTAGTTGTTTCCAATGTCGTTTCACTGCCCCCTTACCTTACCTTTTTTTTTTTTGAATTGTTGATTGTTTTCACACAGATGATTTTTAAAGGGAGCACAGTGCTCACAGGTGATAGTATTTTGTGAGTCAATCTGCTATTTAGTTACAAGGTAATGTCGGAGTAGTTTCTATTCAAGGTCTAATGAGTATCTCAGGGCACACTAATCTTGGGACGTCCTCCCGTAATTCTGAATTTTTACAGAACTTGTGGTTCTGTTCCTTATTTTTATCCAATTCTACCAGGACCCATCTGTTGTGATCCTGATCGAAACGGTCAGTGGAGGCTAGGCACTTTCTAGTTCTTCTGGTCTCAGACTATACGAGGCTGTGGGTCCCACAGATAGTTCTACACACTAGTTCTTCTGTAAGTTTTGTGTTCCTTTCTATCTATTTTGTTCCAGATGAGTAGACACCAATAGTCCTTTCTTAGATAGCTGCTTGTAAGCTTTTAAGACCCCAGGCTAAGACAAAGAACATAAACTCTATGAAGTATAATGACACCAACTGGCCAAGTTTGCCCCATGAAATGATGGACCTAAGACTTCAAACTCAGACAACCAATTCTGCCAGCTATTTGGTTATCGTGACCCCATGACTTATAGGACAGTCTAAGTGAAGGGTGGGGTATGCAGGGAGCTTCAACAGTTTTGTTTCTTTAGCTAGACGGTTGGTGTATGGGTGTTCGTTGTATTATTCCTTCATGCTTTTGTGTATCTCTTAAATATTACCATAAAACTTTAAAAAAGAAAATGCTGCAGAATAGTATAATATTCACAACTTCATTTTTTTCACAATGCTAGAAAATACTGGACCATTTACTTCTAGTACACTTCACCATAACAGCAGTTGACTTAGGTGTTAGGAAGCACAAGATAGCACATCTCTTAGAATAGCAGACTTAGGTGTTAAGAAAGCCTAAAGAAAGTAGAAATCAGTACCCCCATCCTCCCCAGTGGATTTTTTTAATTGCAAGTGTTCGTTTTAGCAGAATATGATTGGTTCAACACCAGCCAGCGTGCCACACCTCAGAGTGTAGCTCCTCAGCTGAGCAAATTACCTCAATTTCTTGTAACTGCTCCTGATTGGTTGTGTACATCTGCTGAAGAGAGTCCTCCAACTCTGTGTTCCGGTCCAGTAATGTCTTCCCAAGCTCAGCAGCAAGCTGGAGATCTAGCACAACAGCTGAATCTTAGGATGGTATAAACAGTCTCATTGCAACATTTCATACAATACCTTTCTTAAAACAGCAACAAACCAAGACACAACAAATAAGGTTTAAATTAGATTATAATGGCAGGTAGAACGGCACAGAAGAGAACCTGAGTTCTATATAAGATTCAGTTCAACTGGGGACTTCTACTCGCTTATACACTAGTCTTTACATAATCTACTTTATGGACATGTATTCGTTAGTTCAAGGAGCCCAGGTGGCACTGTAGGGTAAACACTGGACTGCTAATCACAAGGTCAGCAGTTCAAACCAACCAGATCTTCCACGAGAGAAAGATGAAGCTTTCTGCACCCGGAAGGATTTAGAGCATCAGAAATCCTGTACTAGGCTGCGATGAGTGGGAAAGGCCTGGCGGTAGTGGTTTAGTCACTAGTTCAAGAGTTACTATCAGTTCTGTGACTTTGACTCATAAACTGGCTGCTATGGAGCTGACTCCAACTGACGGCGATCTCACATGTGCCCATGGGGAACCACGGGTTTTTTAACAGCAGGTTTTTTGGAAGTAAATCACCAAGGTACCTCTGGGTAGACTCGAGCCACCAAACTTTCAGTTAGTGGCTGAGAACTTGTTTGTTAAGATCACGATTATCTGCTATGGGAGTACCCTGACCGTTTACCTTGTTTTGGACAGTACACTTCTGAAGCCAAATGAATTGAGATAGTAACTAGTCCTTTCCCACCCCCAAATATTTCCTCCTTTTTTGGATTTTGAAATTAAACAGCGTATTGCCAAAGCCTAGGCAACCTTTTAATAGAGTTAATGGCAACTGGTTTTACTGGTAAAGTTCCAGTGAATCCAGCTGCTGAGAGTGCTTGTTGTTCCAGATCGTAGTCTCCTAAGGAAACTAAAAATCAGTGAGCTGGGAAAAGGGAAAATCCATTAATGATAAGGACATTTCCAAGTCTCTCATGCCGTCTGCTTTTCTCTTCATGTGCGTCTCTAAGATGAACAAACAAGATAGCATAGCAGCAGAACAGTTTCTGAAGTAGTTACATGTCAGTAGCTCATACTACCTTTAACACAAAATCATAATTCTAGTTTAAATCTCATTTCTTTCTCTTTTGTGGCATTTATGCACAGGAGTTGTTTTTATTACACACAATCCCATAATGAGATTGTTGTTGTTGTTAAGTGCCACAGAGCCAGTTCCGACCCATAGCAATCCTGTATAGGGTTTTCAAGGAATGGCTGGTGAGGTTGAACCACCAACCTTGCAGTTCAAACCAACTTTGCAGTAAGAGCACATTAACCCACACCGCCACCCCAGAAAAATACACAAGGAAGTACTTTACAAACTAAGCTATGATACAAAGGCTACGTTCAGTATTCACTGACTGACAAGTAAATGATTTGTTTCGAAGGCTCTGGTAAGCTCTAGCTATCCAACGATGGAAAAAATGGATGAGGTCCCTGATCTCCTAATACTTACAGATTTAATGGAGAAGCCAGACAGCAAGTAAGTCAGTAAACTTACAAAGTATGGTATGCACTATTTATTCCTACATACAGTACAGGCACATAACATGTGACAATACCATGTTATTCTAGGCTGGGAACAGAATGAAGAGAGATAAAAATCCCCTGCCTTCATGGGGTTTATATTCTAGTAGAGGAACTAGCATGATAAATAAATTAGTGACCTAACACCCATACATCCAGGCAGAGGCAAAACAACTGCCAAGTTCCTAGAAAGAAAGTGAGAGAGGAAGTAATAAGAGCCCTCCCTCACACGCCGCCCACAGAACCTGGTGATGGCTGGGGCACTGAACAGCCTAGGGGTGGAAGTGAGATTGCTGAGCACAGAATGCGAGTGTTAGCAGTTCCTGGACCCCAATAAAGCTCCCGCCTTTACAACTATTCTCAGGGCTTTTTCATACCAGGAGAGCCCTTAGCCCTAGAGCTGAAGATGTTCCCAGCCAGTTCCCCCAGAGCTGTCAATGAAGCCCTGGTGGCGTGGCAGGGTAAGTACTGGCTTGCTAACTAACCACATGGTCGGCAGTTCAAACTCACTAGCATGAGAAAGATGAGGCTTTCTGCTCCCGTAAAGATTCATAGCTTTGGAAGCCCTACTTAAGGTTGCTATGAGTTGAAATCAACTCTGGTACTGTAGGGTAAGCACTGGACTGCTATCAGTTCAAACCCAACAGCCGCTCCTTGGAATCCCTATACACAGGATCGCAATGAGTCAGAACTGACTCAATGATACTCAACAACAGCAACAAAATGCAGCCCAGTGTCACTGAAGCAAAGAGGGGAAGAAAAAGGAAGCAAGAAACAAGTCAAAGGAGCTACAAGGGGGTCTCGAGTTGGGTTTTTACTCTGATTATAACAGAATCCAGTGCAGCCTTTTGAGGTGATCACTCCGGATGTTGTGCAAAATGATTGAAAGAGTAAGGTTCGAAGCAGGGTGACTGGCTAGAAGGATTCTCTACTAGACTAGAAACTCCATGAAGGCAGGGAAATGTTCATCTCTGTCATTTTATTCCCCACCTAGAACAGTGTCTGTCTGGTATTGCCATAGTAGTACTGTTAAGAATCTGGATGAAAGATGAGGATGACTTGGACCAAGGAGGGAAAGTACAGCAACACGGATTTGTTGACTAACTGAAAGTGCAGTGTGAGAGGGAAAAGGAAAACAAAACAAGAGTCAATGTCAATGAACTTTAGAAAGGTTGGTCAACGAAGGTTTAAGGAGCCTAAGACTCCATGTGAAGAGCCAAAGGCACTGTGACAAGAAAGCACTTGGCATGTTCTATTACCTGATAAAAAGCCAGGACGACAGGCTCATGTGGGGGAGAACAGTAGGAGATGAAGTTACCTAAAGAGTGACAACAAAAAAGCGACACCTCTTGTTACCTGGTCATGCCATTCAAAGAGTCCTGGTGTGGCATTGTAGGATCAGCACTGGGACTGCCAACCACAAGGTCAGCAGCTCACACTCAACACCTGTTCCTCAGAAACCCTATATAGACTCAGTATGAGTTCAGAACCAACCTGACAGAACTTAACAACAATCCTTCTTGAAATATAAATGTCCATTCATGTTGCACATTAGATTTCAGTCTGAAGTAACATCTTGTATTCACATGACACACAATATCTATAGTTAGCTCAAAGCATTTAAGAGACAGCAATCTTTTTCATGTGTTTAATCTTTTTAATCGGCTGCTAAACAAAAGGTGGACCATTTGAGCCCACCAGCCACTGTGTAAGAGAAAGATGTGGCAATCTGCTGCCTTAGAAAACCTACTCTTCTACAGGGTCACTATGGGTGACAGCAATGGGTGTTTTAATCTTTGCATTTTCACGAGGTATTTAGCTCCATTTTCCAGATGACGCACAAATGCAGTAATGAGCTGACCACATCGACATGGTGAGTCACAGGCAAGACAGAAACTACCAGTCATCCGCTTCTACTCTCAGGCTTATCATGATTTTCTCATTCTCCACATCTACATTATTTTAAGTCTATCAAAAGGCACACCCACACTTCTTTAAGGTCAAGAGTACAAAGTTCCCGAGCTAAGGTACTTAATGTGTTGCACTTGTTTTCATAGACAGCGGGCGATGAGAAACTAGAGTTGAGATGTTTGATTTTTATTACTGCTCTGGCATTGAAAGTACATACGTCAGTCAAGTTAACAGCTTGTTTTCTCACCAAGTGAAAACGGTACTACGGATGGCTGAAGATGTTCCAGAACTAATTATTTTGTACTCACAAGGTATGTAATGTGTAGCCATAAACTCAGAGAAGCCACTACACTGTATAAAAGGCGAAGCACAAACATCACAGAGACATTACTTCAGTCTCTCCTCTGGCTTGTCGGAACGTGCTAACTCCTCACTAGGAAGGACCAGAAACTCACCGAATGTGTTCTTTATCTAGTAATCAAAACCTGAGCCAAAACCTCTTCCAGAATTACTACTAACTTGAGACCATCAACCACTTGGATTCAGAAACATCTCTCCTGCTCCTAGAGAAAGAAATGCCAAGGATAGCACTCTTCCAAAAAATAGCAAAAAAAAAAAAAAACTTGAGGTTTATCTTTTATCTCAGCCCTTATTTCCAGTTAAACAAAACTCCAACCTGGTTCAGTAACTTGAAGTCTTATAGTCTCCTAAATATTTGATAAGTTATTCAGAATAGAGTTGTAGCAAGGTAAGTCTCCGCTACGAGGAAGCGCCTGTAAAGGCACACTGTATCACAGGATATGACTTCATCTGTTCGTTTAAAGACTAGGGTCTTTTTTAGTTCTTTTCCTGTTGTGTAGCATCTGGCTTCCATAACCAAAAGGAGTCAAAAGCTGGCAGTATGCCCAAGAAGGCTTTCTAAATAATTAATGGAGGGAATAGGAGAATATTGAATGTCCTTATTTATATTTTTAATTAAGGAAACAATAGTTTTGAAATTTTACACACCTGTTCATCTCAGTTTGAAAATGAGGATTTTCATTAAGAGATTCTTTTCTGAATCCTATTGAACTGGCCTACGCAGCCACTGAAAATCAGCCCAGATTTACTACTGCTGTTGTTGTTGTTAGGTGCCATCGAGTCAGTACCAACTCATAGCGACCCTGTGCACAACAGAACGAAACACTGCCCGGTCCTGCACCACCTTACAATCGCCGTCACGTTCGAGTCCATTGCTGCTGCCACTAAGCCAAGCCATCTCATTGGGGGTCTTTTTCTCCGACCCTCCACTTTACCAAACCAGTCCTTTCTCCAGGACTGGTCCCTCCTATCGGTTTGGAAATTATGCACTTTATCAATACTTTTCATATGTTTAACACTTAGGATCCCTCTTCCTTTATCAGTCTGCAAGTGATGGATAGTATTCTATTTGACAGCTCTAAGGAGGTATGCTTTAACAGGAACTCCACTCAGCCCTCGGGAGTGGTGTTTAAACAGAACCATCCTTTCAGAATTTTGATACCTTTCAAACTCACTGCTGTTACAGTTTTTCATTTTACTTCAATCTCTCCAAATTATATGTTGTTGTTCAAGTGCTGCTGAGTCAGTTCTGACTCACAGTGACCCTGTATAGCAGGGATGTTGTAGTTGTTAAGTGCCGTCGAGCCGATTCTGACCCATAGCGACCACCTTTTTTCTACCAAAAAAGAAAACACTGGCAGGCCATGCCAAATTATCAACTTAACAACTAGCCTGCTGTATTTGGTCAATCAGTTAATGACGTCACCCTACAGGGTCACTATGAGTTGGGATTGACTCCACGGCACATCACCACCACCACCACCACCACCACTACCACCACCACCACCACCGTGATGGCTGGTGTCCTGGTATACTGCTGTGGGTTAATGTGCTGCACTGCAAGGTCAGTTTGAACCACAAAGTTGGTGGTTCAAGCCTATCAGCCACTCCTTGGAAACCCTTTACAGGGTCACTATGGGTCGGAACCAATTCAATGGCACTTAACAGCAACAACAACATGATGGCTGGAAGTACGGCTGCCTTGGAAGAGCTAGGACAAATGTTCCCCACCCCTGCTGTACAGGGTTGTCAAAGCTGTAAATCTTTGTGGCAGCTGAAAGTCTCACCTTTCTCTCGAGGAGCGGCTGGTGGGCTCAAACCGCTGACCCTGTGTTTCGCAGTCCAGTACTTATCCTCCAGAGCTGCTCTCCCCAAATTATACTAGAACAGCATATTTTCACGTTAGCTGTAGTTCACAGCAGTAATTCACTAATCTTAAGGCTGAAAGCTTTCCTATTATAAAGTCAAATGCGTCACTGGGTGGCCCCTGTGTAACTTGTTGCCAACATTACTATAATTGGGAAGGCAAAAAACTTTAATATAAACATCAAGAAAAATGACGTCGATTTTAATGACCCACCAAACAATGAGTCAGCAAAGAAGTTGCATACAAGGAAGACAGACTCAAAGAAACAGAAATTTTAGGATTCCTTTAAGCTAAGATTTCATTTGTCAATCTATACAGTGGAAATCGGAATCCTTATTCTAAATGACAATTATAAGAGCAGCTGGTCTCAAAGAAAAGCCAGTCTCTGAAGTCTTTCTAGCTTACTCTCACGGGCACATTTCAAAGCACGCTCCACCATTACCTGCAAAGAAATCTGCTGTCCCAGAAAGGATCTTACCCAAAGAGATTACCGTCAGTATTCTTACCAAGCCCTCTGACAAGACTGTCTCTTCATCAAAGTGTTTTATAAAACGAGAGGCTTTTCTCTTTCTGCCTGTATACAGCTTTGCATGTGTCAAACACGGTATGAAGAGGGCACCAGAGTCTACTAAAGGCTAGAAATTTCCAGAAAATGTTATTTAAAAAAGAATGCCCTAGCAAAGTTTGATCCAGAGATTCCATCTGCTTAAATAATGGCTTATATATATGGTGTGGCGCTGTAGGATAAGCGCTCAACCAGGAGGTCAGTTTGAACTGCAAGGTCACTGGTTCAAACTCACCAGCCACTCCTCGGAAACCCTACACACGGTCACTATGAGTTGGAGCCGACTCAACAGCACTTAACAGCAGCAACAACAACATATTGTTAAAGAAAAAAAAAGTCCTACTTCTGATTTGGAGAACAAGATGTTAACAATTGTTTTAAGCAGCTCTCTCCAAACAATTCTTACTACGAAAATACGATGTTTTAAAAAGTGCAATTATTTGTACATGCTGAAAATCTGTTAAGTGCCATCGAGTTGGTTCCGACTCATAGCGACCCTACATGCTTAATAATCTGTTTAATAAAATAAATCTGCCCACAAACTTCATTCAGCAGCAAATACAAGGGCTTACTAGGTGCCAGGCAGTGCAGTGGGCACAACCATAGGTATCACTTCTGGGTGTCTCTAGTGCCTCCTTCGAAGGATGTATTATGCTGCCTGTCCTATCTTGTCCAAGACTGTGGCCCCAGTGCCTAGGTAAGTGCCTGCCACAAACCAAGTAAATCATTTTTTGTGAAATGAATAAATTTTCAAATCCTTTAGACATTGTTTAACATAATTTAATAAAATTGGGGCAAAGATACCTTTTATTCACTGTAGCCTTTGTTCTTTTTATAGGCCAGGATCATGTTACAACTGTTAGAATTTCACTTCTACTATTGTTGTTGTTAATTGCCATCGAGTCGATTCCGACCCATAGCGGCCCTCCCTGTAAAGGGTTTCCGAGCAGTTGATGAGCTTGAACTGCCAACCCATTTAATTCACAGGGTAATGTCGAAGTACACGATGATAAAGAATGTAAAAGTCCTTTGAAAAGCAGATAGTAAATTCCAAGTGAAAACTCGTGTAAAGGAGGTTTGGACTATGTCCTTTAAAGTTTCGTTGAACTTGATCTGATGACTTCACTTCAATCAAGCTGAGGTCAAAGAGAATTGGTCACATAACCCCAAGGTGTTGCATTTGCTTCTTGGGAGGATTCTGGTGTGGCACTGTGGGATAAAGAGCTGGACCGCAAGGTTGGTGATTGAAACTCACCAGCTGCTCCTTGGAAACTCTATTGTTATGAGTCAGAAACGACTCAATGACAGTTAACAACAGTGGAAATACTACAACTGGTTACTTCTAACAATCTCCCTTAGAGGGAAAGTGCATGTGTGGACTACATGTGTGGATCACATGTACACGTGTGGACCACCACGGGAAAGTCCCTTAGAGGGAAAGTGCAGTGTGGACCACGGCACATGATGGGAAGGCATCATAAAACCAGCCATCCTGTGTGGGTGCTTTACTCAGGTTCGATGCAATACTAACCAAGCTTTGCTCATGTGCCAAATATTAAGCTAGATCCTGGGGATTTAAAAACTGAGCAGGCTTGGTCCTTGCCTTCTCTGGCTTACAGATTTGTTTCTTTAATAAAGAAATGAAAAATATTTACCAGTGATTATATAAACTAATTTACAATAGGGAAATGTTGCAATTGCACCGTGATTGTCCCATTAAACCTGGACAAAAAAAATCAAAGTAGGCCATCAATTCTTATGGGGAAATCTGAAAGCAGGTTTGTCAAAATGTAAGACAAATCTTTAAAGACCTCTTTAAAATGTTAAAAAGCAAAGATGCCACCTTGAGGACTGAGGTGCACCTGGCCCAAGCCAGGGTATTTTCAATCACCTCATAAGAATCTGAAAGCTGGACAATGTATTAAGACCAAAGAAGGTTTGATGCACTTGAATTATGGGGTTGACAAAGAATACCATGAGTAAGTATATCATGGACTGCAAATCATAGCTAGACTGTCCCTTGGAAGCAAGCATGGGCATACTTTGGATATGTGAGGAGGAATCACTGCCTGGGGGACATCATGTTCGGTCAAGTGGAGGGTCGTGGACAAAAAAGAGGCTGACCCTCAATGAGATGGAATGTCAGTGACTGCAAAAATGGCTGTGACTGGAAGAGCGCACCAACTAGGCTGTGCTTCCATCTGCTTTATTCAGGATGGTGGTTAAGACTGTTATCCTAGTCCCCCCCCATTAAGTGTTGTCTTCTACCTCCAAATGTTGGATTAAGTGGGCCTGCGTGGTATGGTTTGCCCACACCTGGCACATGGTAAGCATTCTTCCAATTGACAGCTACTTAGTACCCAGCCAGGAAAGGGGAACCGGCTACAATGCGCGCTGCTCTTAGGAGAAGGTATCATTAGAGAGAAACCCAAGAGGCAGGTCAACCCAACCCCACTGCCATCAAGTCAATTCTGACTCACAGGGATCCTAGACCACAGAGTAGAACTGCTTGTTCTCTAGGGTTTCCTAGCCTTTGTCTTCCGGTGTGGCTGGTGGGCTCGAACTGCAGACCTTGCAGTTCGCAGCCCAACGCATAACCGACTCGATGGCACTAACAACAACGTGTCAGGATCGACTCAATGGCAGATTTGTTTTTTGTTTTGTTTTGGCACTTTGGGCAAGTCACTTAACCGCTTCAGCGTCCGTTTGCCTCATCTGGAAAATAGGGGTAGAGTCACAGCGAGCGCTCGGCGCGCTCCAGCGATTACCGCCCCGGTCAGCACTGCGCATGCAGCTGGGCGAGCACTGCGGGTTCACGCAGATGGGGGGGGGGGGGCCGGCGCCGCGACCCCAGCCTCACCTTGCTGCAGGTCCCGGTGGTCGTACCACGGCTCGTCCTCCTTCAGCTCGAAGTCCTCCTTGAGCTCAAAGTCCTCCACCAGGTTCTCCGCCAGCATCTCGGCCGAGTCCTCTGGGGGCAGCGGTCTGTGCCGCCGTCCTGCCTCAGCCGCTGCCCCTGGCCCACCGCCCTCCGCCAGAGCCGCCCTCGGGCAGGCGGGCCGAGCCGCCACGCCGCCGGCCCGCTTCCCGGCTCGTCTTGAGCTGCCCAACGGCCCCAACGGCCCGGCGCCCCGGCGCGCGCGCCCCGGCCGGCACTCCGAGCCCGCTCCGCACGCCGCACCCGATCCCAACGTGGCACTTTGGCAGAACCCTCCCCGACCGGGGCTGAAATTCAAACCCCTGGAGGCGCTCGGACGAATCGTGAGCCGGTCGCTGGCCGAGCGGCGGCAAATTTGCCCAATCGTGTCTCACCGACTGCTCGCGGCTCGCGCTGTCTTAAGAGCAAGCAGCCAATGGCGCCTCCGGAAGAAACAAAGAAGGCGGGAAAAAGCGAAGGGGTGCGGCCGAGACGCCCCGCCCCTCCACTCCGTGTTGTGGAGCCTCTGGGCGTGCAACGGTTCCCTGAGGCGAGCCGCAGGCCACTCTGTCAGGGTCCACGGCGGCCGGAGGATGCGGGTGGCCTCCGTAGTCGTGGTGACGAAGAGTCTGAGCACTGAGCAGTGAGCTCTCATCGCGGACTCCCTTCGTGCAGGCGGGACACGCGAAGGGGGTCGGGAGCCCGAAGTCCCTGCTTGGCGGGCTCTGCTCACCTTTTGTCTCCGGATTTACCCTCTGAAGCGGGGAGGTGGACGGTCGACTTGCCGAGAGTTTGGGGGGAAGGTGGCCTCTGCGTGTTAGCTGCTGTCGCCGTGCCGACTGCGCACGGTCCCCATCCCCGTGGGAATTTTACTCGCTCTGGGGAAAGCAGTGGGTCCCAGACCCCATTGAGAACCTAAAGGAGTGCGGTTGAAGAGATCTCTTTAGAAAAGAATTGCAAGCGGTTTGGCTTCAGAGTATGAAGGGTCAGAACGCTGCACCTGGGAATGCGGCGCAGGCGCCTGACGCCTGGCAGGCAGGGCGTGGACACTGTGCACAACAAAGGAAATGCCACTCTGGGTTTCTGTTGTTAGAATCACCTTGTAGAGGAAACCCAGAAACCCATACGTATGGGGTCACAGACCAGAAGGTTCGTGTTTAATAGCCTTCATTTCAAAGCAGAAGGTTCACTTGATGGGAGGGAACGCCACCAGTGATGAGTAACTTTTTCTGACAGTGGGTGTCAATATCCTGTCGCCTGTGTATGGAACCAAAATTGAGGTTTAAGTGTTTGTGAGCGCTCACATCACAGACACTTGGTTTGTGTAAACAGAGCGGTCTGAAAACGAAGCTTTAACTTCATTTTAACGTCTTGACAAGAGTTTAAAACCCATGATGAATTTTAAAAGCTGCTTTTTCCTAACAGCAGTTCCTCTAACCTTGATGCTGACGACCTAATCATATGCCCGAAAGGAGACATTCGTTTTCTCTGCGCTTGGCAGGTGGAGAATTTCACAAACTATTCCCAGAGGGTCTTTCACTATGGACAAACAGATGCAAGATGTGATACATTATACCTGGAGGGTCTCCATGCACAATATTCTGCACAAAGCTTTACATAAGACCCCCAGCAGCACAGCAGAAATGAGTGAGAAAGCAACTTTTAACAGCAGTTTATCCCCAAAACGTCCTGCGGCCGTCCTGTAATAAACTGAAAATCATATTCACTTGTAATTGTTGTTATGTGCCGTGGAGTCGGTTCCGACTCATAGTGACCCTGTACGGAGTTTCCGAAGCTGTAAATCTTTTCTCCCTCAGAACAGCTAGTAGTTTCAAACTGCTGACCGTGAGATTAGCAGCCCATTTCGTAACCACTACACTACCAGAGCTACCTGCCCTTAACCGGTCTTGTAACCCCAGTTTTATGTTATCTTCCTATCCCTGCTAAATCTCCGCTTTTAGATAAAACCCACTTTTGAAATCCCTGATTGTCTTTCAGCCAATTAGGATTTTGTAACTTTTAGTGCCTGCTCCAACTGTAAAACTTTTTGCTTCTTCATTGACCAGCATAGAGGCCATTTTCATTCTGAATTTGAATGTTTTCTGGCTCTGAACCATTGCTATCCTGCAATACACCTCTGCTGCTTTTATTTTAAGCAGACTGGATGATGTTGCTCTAAGACAGATGTTTTATCTAAAGATTATTTCCAGAAGAACTTAAACACAAGAAAGCAAATTCATTATCATTCTTGATGTAAAAGTAAGACACAGTTGACAGGAAGGAAGGACAATGCTAAATATATTTTTTCTGATATAGTGGAAGTCAACCTAGTGTCTAATGTTTTGTTGTTGTTGTTAGGTGCCATCCAGTCAGTACCGACTCATAGCGACCTTATGCACAGCAGAACGAAACACTGCCCGATCCTGGGCCAACCTCACTATTGTTGCCACACAAATCTATCGATGCTGCCACTTGGCCAGTCCATCTCGTTGGGGGTCTTCCTCTTTTTCTCTGACCCTCCACCTTACCGAACATGATATCCTTCTCCAGCGACTGGTCCCTCCTGACAATATGTCTGAACTAGGAGAGACGAAGTTTGGCCATCTTGGCCTCCAAGGAGCACTCTGGCTGCACTTCTTCCAAAACAGATCTATTGGTTCTTTTCGCAGCCCATGGCACTTTCACTATTCTCTGCCAACACCATAACTCAAAAGCATCAATTCTTCCACGGTCTTCCTTACTCACTGTCCAGCTTTCACATCCATATGAGGTTATTGAAAATACCGTGGCTTGGGTCAGGTGCACCTTAATCCTCAAGCTGATATCTTTGTTCTTCAACACTTTAAAAAGATCTTGTGCAGCAGATTTGCTTAATGTGGTGCATCGTTTGCCCTCTTGACTGCTGCTTCCATGAGTGTTGATAGTTGGCCCAAGAAGAATGAAGTCCTTGACAACTTCAATCTTTTCTCCATTGATAAGAATGTTGTATATTGGTCCAGTGGTGAGGATTTTTGTTTTCTTGACATTGAGATGTAATCCATACCGAAGGCTGTGCTCTTTGATCTTCATCAGTAAATGTTTTAAGTCCTCTTCACTTTCAGCAAGCAAAGTTGTATCATCTGCATATTACAGGTTGTTAATGAGTCTTCCTCCAACCCTGATGCCATGTTTTTCTTCATATAACCCAGCTTCTCAGATTATTTGCTCAGCATACAGATTGAATAAGTATGGTGCAAGAATTCAACCTTGTCGCACACCTTTCTTAATTTTAAAGAATTCAGTGTTCCCATGTTCTGTTCAAACAACTGCTTCTTGGTCCATGTATAGATTCCTCATGAGCACAATTAAGTGTTGTGGAATACTCATACTTTGCAATGTTGTCCATAGCTTGTCATGATCCACACAATTGAAAGTCTTTGCGTAGTCAGTAATTGAATTTAGGGATCATCTGAAGAACAGATTTGATACATTAAACACTAAAGACTGAAGACCAGAAGAGTTGTGGGATGACATCAAGAACATCATACATGAAGAAAGCAAAAAGTCATTAAGAAGACAAAAAAAAGGTCAAAATGGATGTCAGAAGAGACTCTGAAACTTGCTCTCCAGTGTAGAGATTTTAAAGCAAATGAAAGAAATGAGGAGGTCCAAGAGCTAACAGAAAATTTCAAAGATACGTTCGAGAAGATAAAGCCAAATATTACAACAAAATGTGCAAAGATCTGGAATCAGAAAACCAAAAAGGAAGAACATGTTCAGCATTTCTCAAGCTGGGGGAACTGAAGAAAAAATTCAAGCCTTGACTTTCGTTATTGAAAGATTCTCTGAGCAAATTATTGAATGATGCAGAAAGCATCAAGAGAAGATAGAAGGAATATGCAGAGTCACCGTCTAATATTTAGGGGACAAAAACTGAGGCTTAAGTGGTTATCTCCCAAAGAATTTAAACCCACAAAAGCAAACCCATGGCAACTCCATGTGCTAAAAGGAGAACTACTTTCTAGGGTTTTCTTGACGAATCAGCTGGCTTTTCTTCCACAGTATTGCTGAACAGGTGTGAATCGCCAACTGTCTGAGTGTGGTCAAGTGCAAGCTGTTTCAGAAATTAGGCGAGAAAGAAGAAAAGGAGTCATATTAGTTCAATCCTCATCTACTATAGCAATGTTGGTGTTAGATGTCATCCAGTCTGTTCCGACTCATAATAATCCCATGCCCACCAGAAGGAGACTATGCTCAGTCATGTGCCATCCTCACAGTTATTATGCGTGAGCCCACTGCCGTTGTGTGTGCCAATCCATCTTATTGGGGGTCTTCCTCTTTTTCACTGACCCTCTATTTTACCAAACATGATGTCTTTCTTCAGGAATTGCCATTCCTGCTTCTAAGGAGCGTTCTGGCTGTACTTTTTCCAAGACATATTTTATTCATTGTTCTTGATTAACACTATAATTCAAAGGCTTCAAATCTCTGGTCTTCCTCTTCATCGTCCAACTTTGAAATGCATATGAAGTGACTGAAAATGAGATGGCTTGGTTCCAGTACATCTTACTACTCAAGGTAATGTCTTCTTTTGCAGCAGATTTGCTTTCAGGGGTAATTCTGAACATCAAAATAAATGCTCTATCAGTGCCTGTCCTAAGGAGCTCTGGTAGCGTAGTGGTTACGAATCGGGCTGTGAACCTTAAAGTCAGCGGTTCGAAACTACCAGCCGCTTCGCGGGAGAAAGATGAGGCTTTCTACTCCCGTAAAGATTTACCCTAGGAAACCCTGTAAGGGTCGCTATGGGTCGGAACCGACTCGATGGCACTTAACAACAACAACATCAGTGTCTGTCCTAGTCCCTGTCTGAAGACTATTACAAAGTCAGCAGTATATGAAGGTAAATCCCTAGAGGTCACTTGGTTCCTTGGATATGCTAAAAACGTGATTGTTTTCTCTAGATCACAAGCTGTGATTGTTTTTCAATAGATTAAAGCCACACCCTGATTGTGACACAATTATAGAACAATAGGGGTTCTCCACAGGTTCAACAGGCAGAAAAAGGAAAGAAGGTAGTGGATCACTGCCCTTTATTTATGTCTTTGCTAAGAGCAGGAGCTACCCAAGAGCTGAGCTCTTTAAGCCCTTTTCGTGAGCACCTGGGAAGTTTGACCT